GAGAAAGGTAAGAAGGCTGAAGCACTGAAGGAAGACGAGTGAACGGAGGAAGGAAAAACAGTCAAGAAAAATGTCGAGAAAACGGTGATAATAGGTAGCAAAATGTACGGGGACAAAATAAATAACGGAGGGAAGGCAAGAGTAAGAAATAAGATATTGAAATGCCGTCAGTGATACGGGTTTCTGACGGCAGTTAGTGCGTAGGCATCGACGGTGGAGGGACAGTTTCGCATACAGAAGGTCGTTACGATGTAGAAATAGGTGGTCGTAATTCAGCGACCGTGACGATGGCAGCGATCAAATAATTTTATTTTCTGCAGCCTATTCGAATGAGAGAATTCGTCGCAACGGCATCATGTGGGAGAAAGGAGAATAGGGAGGTCGCGAAGAAGGTAAAATTGCATGAAATAAAGAGAAGTTAAAGCAAAAAAAATGAATAAGGAAAATGAGAAGACGGTGACAATAGGTAACAGAAGGTGTGGGTTCAAAATAAATGAAGGAGGAGTGATGATGCAATTTTGCATGACACAGGGAAGCGGAGTGCAGTAATGTGTGATAAATGCCACGGAGAAGGCAAATACAGAAATTTATGATAATGTAATGACGTATTGACACGGACAGGATATGGTAGTCGGCAGTCAGGTGGGGTCGGTGGGGTAAAGTTTCGCACAAGAAGGCCGTTACGATGCCTAAACATCGGGCCGTGAATTAGCAGCAGGGTTCGGCAGCGGCAAACGTGTCCCAGCGCCTCCCAGCAGACAGCAAGACGTCACGAGAGCGCGGGGTGAACAGCGGTGCCAGTCGTCGAGCCTGCGCGCGCTCTCGCTTTGATGTGGCAAAGCCCTGCCGTTGTGTCGATACCGGCGCTAATCCTCGGCGCCCACGGGCCCCGCCCACTCGGCGAGGCGACGCGTTCGCTTAATGCGCGCGATAAGCGCCGCTCGCACCGGCCCTCTCGCCGCGACGACGACGAGGACGAGTTGGACGGCCAGGACCCTAGCGCCCCGAGCGTTGCCCGAGGTGCGCGACCGCCCCACACGGGGTGTTGCTATCGGACGCCGGCAGCGCTCAGGCGGCGCGCTGCGGGAAGCACCGACGCGGAGATAAGGAGCGGGCCCAACATACCGCAAGTTTTCTGAAACGCACTGCTGGTACGAATTCTACAAGTTTGCTGCTTCAGAGTATGTCCTGACTCGGTGTACAAGTATATACGTAAGTTTCAGTTGTTCTGTTTCATTATCACAATAATAAATGGAGAACTGAAGGTTTGTTTTCCTTTAATGAATTTCGAAAGGATGAGTACGCACTTTCTGTGTTCGGACACAAATATGAGGTAGACACATTAGGGCAGGTGTAGATTAGAGTTGTATTAACTTTACGTGACTTAAAGATTACATTTAAATATAATTTATAAAATTGTTGTGTGGGGAAGATATAGATGCTCTGAATTGGTTAGATGATTTTCACTGCAAGCATGGAGCTTTCAGGAGAACGGGTAAGCAAAGATACTGAATTTTTAGTGGGAATGTTAGGTTTTACTTTGTGTTTTT